AGTTCGAGCCGATCCATATGCTCGAAATCGGCTAAAAAAAATTCAAGTAAAGTTTCGGCACATAGCACAACTCATTTTTTTAGATCCGACTTCGATTTGAGCCAAAATTCAAATCGAATTTTGAGCAATTAACTATCTTCAAACTAAATTCACTGCCCTATCTGTGTCCTATGTTCTTGTTGAAATGTCTATCCCTTTGGCCAGAGAGGATTTTAATCGATCTTCTTGTGGATATTGGTAAAAAGTGAAATTTAAGAGCGATCACTTAGGTCTCACAAAATTGGAAAATTTTGGTCATAATTATGTGCTCATCTCCTATTCCCAGACCTACTTGGTAGCTCTTTCAATCAAGTTATGAATAACAATTTATGTTCAATAAATACTAATCATCAAATTGGTCCTACAAACTCTCTAAAATATGCTCCACTAACCTTACACCCCCACCCCCCCTAATGTTCTCACATTTTGGACACTACTCTAGACTCTCATGTGTGATAAATATTAATCATCAAATTTGAACCTAAAATTTTTCATAAATATGCTCCATCAGCCTTGCACCCCGCTCCCCTAAAGGTTCCTATTTTTTCGACTCTAGGCTACTCTTTCAAGTTTGTGCTAATCTTAGCTACAATTAGTCTCAAGGATGTCCCCTATTACTCGCAATATCAAATAAATGATTGTTGGGCCTACTAATATTTCAACGGCTGTTAGAAAAAGCTATATATTAGTCAATTAAGAGTCTTACAATCATCTAATCTCATTTCTTCCAATAACATAACGATAATGTTCCCTAATGCAAACTGCTGGTGTTATACTGTGAAGGTTATTAATAATTCAAGTCTCAAGACTATTTCAAAAATCTTCTTGGATTAGTGGATAAAAGATTTTAACTTGCATTTCCCCAAAAAATAAAATAAAATAAAATTTAAAAAATAATAGCTTGACAGGCCTGCAAAGTGGGTTAGCCAGCTACAAGCTATCAAATGACACAATTTGGTTATGCACGCGCGCGCGCATACACGTGCACTTGCGTGCGCACTATATATATATTTGTGTGTGTATTATGTACACTGATATTTGTGTAGTTTTAATTGAGCATGAAGTCAAACAACATCTAACGATCAAACTGCATGTGAAGGTTCAAGTTCACGAAGTCATAGGCACGCATTTTCTTCTTGTACTTAACCATTTTGCATGGAAAATATGGAATGAGGCAACTCAACGTATGAATCATCCCGAAACATAAGTAGAATATGGAGTGGCCTGAGTTACAATTTAATGTGGTGTGATAAACCAAGAAGGCTTTAATTAATTTAAAGAGAAATTTCTTAAGTAGCTTAATTAAAGATTTATTGATTGGTTATACATTAAAAAGGGCATATCTTATGTCATTAAACTTCATAGCAAGTGATGTGTAGGGTCATTTAGCGAGCTTTTAACACTAACATTAACATATACTGGCACAAAAAAAACTAACATGCATGCGAAACATGATTATGAGAAAAGAGAGATATGTCTCTATTTATTATTCTATATAAAAAGTGCATATAATATAATTTTGACTTTGCTCGCAGGCATACAAGCACAAACATTCTCATGTTTGCACATGAATTCAATCCCATAACTTAATGCACATGTAAATACTGTAAACATATATAATTTGATCTAAATGGATGTCAAACATTAAAACCTTAAAAACAATCCCAAGTAGATTTTTGAGGTTTTTATAGTTAGATGTTTAAAGAGCAGTAGAAAGATTAGCCCTTATGTGTGCATGTTCATTCTTTTGATATTGCCAGCTTGGATTAGTGACAGAAAACAAATTTGGAAAAGAAAAATTTGCATCATTAGAAAAATGCACTTGATATCACAAGACAATGTATATATTTTACAGTAGCGATTGCCAATACTACAAATTCAACATCTACAATATTATAAAAAAATTTCATTCAATGCCATAATTGGAGCTAAAAGCATTTCATGATTTAAATGGAGATAGAAGATATATCACTCAAAAACTAACCAAAAATGGAGAGAGAAATCCTTTCGAATAGAGTTGTCAGAAATCTGATAAATAAGAAAATAAAATAAATAAATAAAGCTTAGAGCTTTCTAAATGATAGATTGACGCATGATTATATGTATGTTATAAATTAGAGGAGCATCATGCATGAGATAATGATGAACTAACATCGCATCTTGTCATAACGTAAACAAAGACATGGCATTGCAATGACCTGATGAATGAAATCAACATTCTTCCATCATAAATGAATGCTTATGCCTAAGCTGACATATAAATTGAAGAACAAATCATGGCTATTAGTTCAAAAATTTTCATCCTTGTAGTGCGAAAGAAAATAATTAAAAAACCTTGTACCTGAATACTCTGAGTTAGCATCACAAGACGATGTTTTCTCGAACATCTAATGAAATGTTATTTCTCTTGACTATTATATTTGCAGCTCTGGTCACCGAATTTTGGCTTCATCGTCGACTAAATTAGATTCATCTCTAGAGGATACCCGGGAAACAACTTTTGCATTACTCTTGCTTTGTTTCTCTTTGTTAACAACTAAGCCATCTCTCACAGGACGAACTAATTTTCTAATTATTTCCTCAGCTTTAGCAGGGACTGAAGTAGCTTTTCTAGCGAAAGCAGATTTCTTTGAAGGAATCTTGTTTTCCATGGTATTATTCACAGGCAGTACATATTTCTGCTCAGTTGGGTCAACTTTAATAGAAGCTATTTTTGAGGCAGCGTTAACAAAATCATCCTTCTCTCCCAAGCTTGTTTGTTTATGAGAAGTAGGGCTGTCAGGGTTCGACTCCGGAAGCAAAGCACGACGGCTCAGTCGCAGTTGTCCCTTTTCGTTTACCTAGATCAATAGAGGTTCAAACAATGTAAAAGTAAAATCATAAAGTGATAAATGTCGAGGATGATATCAAAGAAAACTATTTCATTCTTTTTATCTTTCAGCTATCCTGACATGTTTTGAATTTGCATATAACGAAGAAAGAAAATCATTTAAGCTTAATGGACACGTAATTAGTAGTTGCTTTGGCATAACTTAAGTTTAGGACTTTGATAACAATATTGTTTTCAAAGAAAAATTTGGAATATTTACATTTTAAAGAAAACTTTGGTAAATTTATACCAAAAAGCCTCATAAATGACAGCATTTTGAAGACACTTAAAAAAGAATTATGCATACAAACACACATCCATAGATGCAAATATACAAATGCAGATGCATTAACCCCCCTCTCTCTCCCCCTCTCTCTCCCTTTAATCTGCTCTCTCTCTCTCTTGCAAGCTTCTTGATCAAAGGTAGGTCTAAGGTGTCTTTTGTGCTTGAGTGTGCATTTCCATACCATTTTTTACATGACAGGAATAAGTAGTGGAATTTCTTCACACAAGGGGGGAGAGAGAGAGAGAGAGAGAGAGAGAGAGAGAGAGTACTATCCTTATTTTAAATGCCCCTGACGTGGGTGCTACAGGAGCCAGTCGGCAATAACTCCCGTAAAATCAACCGGTTCGTTGGACATGGCGGGAGCTCTCCTATCCCCTTCCTCATGTGCTCTTCTCCATATGAGAAGTCTTTAATGGCTATTTTATGTATTGTTCTTACCTCCCCACCCCTTCCTTTTGTGTGGGAATTTCCTTCCTTAGTTCTTTCCATTTTTTCTCCAATAGGAGTCTATAAATTGTTGTTTTCTGATTGTAGGGTTCAGTTTCGCTTGCTGCTTTGTTCAGATTTGTCCCTTTGGAGTCTTTTCTCCCTTGCTATGGCTTATGACTATATCTGAGGAGGTGGTGGTGCTCCAACTGTATCCTACTCCGAGGTTGTGTTGTATGTTCTTCAATCCCCTTCCCCAATCCTCCTGTTCCCTTCTCCCTAGCTGCCAGCCACACCTAGCACCTCCTCAGATTGTTGCCCACATCCAGCCTCCAATCCACTTATCGGCACCCTATACTCCATTCCCTAGTCATTGGACCATGCTGTCCAACCCTCCAGCCACTCCAGGTAGCCTTCCTTGCAGTCCGGGTCACCCCCCGCCAGCACCAAACACCTTCCTTTGAGCGCCCACAACCCCCACCACCCCCCTCATCCCCGAGCTGTCCCTCTCGCCCACTCCTCTGACCATCAAATCAGCCACCACCCTTCCTTCCAAATCCTCTTTTCTAACCTAACAAGCTGCCTCCAACCCTTCCCTGTCCCCGAATTACACCGCCATCGCCACCGCTGCTTTGGGTCCTCTCTTTTGGCCATAACAGGAGCATAGTGTCGTTGTATTGTTCTTTCCAGTCTTGTCGTGTTGTAGCCCTATTTCTACGATAATAGAAGTTTCTTTTTTTGTTTCCGCTAAATTCCTACTTGTTACGATATCATTTGGTATCAGAGCTAGCCTAATCTTAATCCCATAATAGGGAATTCCAACATCCGCCCCTACCCAAGCCACATCCACAAAATTATTTCGTTTGAATTCCTAACCTTAACATGCCACCGTGGAGGGATAAACCGGCTCTACCAGGGAAGAGATTTAATGAGCAATCTATCGTCTGCAATGGAGGCTAGCAAAGTTGGATTACGGGACCCATGACGAGATTACCTTTGACCATGATATGGAGAGTCAAAGGGAACACAAAGATGAGGATCTGAATTCGATCCACAGGGAAGATCATAGAGACGAGAAATATTGACTACGCCGTTTTGGTACCCAATTACAGAGGAGACCAAGAGATAAGGCCACACATAGAGGCCAACAGGACTTTGGCATCAAGATGGACAATCCAAAATTTGAGGGAGGCATGGACCCCAATGAGTTTATCTACTGGCTGCAATCAGTTGAACAGATTAACGAGAATAAGGATGTGCCAGAGGACAAACGAGTCAAGCTAGCAATCATTAAAGAAAAGAAAAATGACTCCTTATGATGGGAAAATCTACAGAGGCAAAGGTAAAGAGAAGATAGTGAAAAGATAACTAAGTGAGAAAAGATTAATAAGACAACGCTTGAAAAATACCTCCCGCCTCACTATCGTCAGGATATATTTTTGAAACTCCACAACTTGCACAAGCGGAAACTTTCGATCGAGGAGTACACAACCTAGTTCGACCACAAGCAACTGAAGTGCAAGCTGACAGAGTTGGAAGAGCATACGATAGCCAGATACCTTGGGGCCTAAAACCTACCATTAGAAACAGTGTAATTAAAACCATACTTGACACTAGGGGATGTCCAGACACTAGCCTTGAAGGTAGAGCGACAATATAAACAAAGCAGACCACCATCGTCATTCATACAACCTTAGCTAAGTAGTCGCTTGCAACTTCTGTAATCAATAAGAGTACCTCAGGAGGAAATAACAAAACCGAATAAAAAAATGATAAGGCAGATCAGTGTGGGAAGAAGCCAGAGAGAGGTAGTTCCTCCAATACACTGCCCACCAGAAAAATTTTCAGGTGTCGCGGCTACTGATCACATAGCTTCCAGCTGCCCTACGAGCCGAGTTGTCACGCTCACAGATCAGGGACCGTCGAGGAGGTCGATGATAGTCCAGAAGAAGAGTTTTAGCTCCACGGAGACGAAGGAGAAGCATTAGTCATTCAACGAGTTTTACAGTCCGAGCTAAAACGGGACCAATCCTGGTTAAGGCATAGTACTTTTTGCACCAAATGTACCGTCAAGAGCAAGGTTTGCAGCCTAATCATCAACAGTGGGAACTGTGAGAACGTGTTCACACTTATGGTGAAAAACTTGGGATTGGACATGCATAAGCATCCCCAATCATATTCTCTTACCTGACTGAAAAAGGAAAAAGAGACGTATAAATCAGCGTGCCTAGTTGACATTTTCATCGGGGATCAACTACAAGAACAAGCATGATATGATGTAGTTCCTATGGATGCCTTCCACATTATGTTGGGTTGGCCTTGACGGTTTCAAGAACACTTGTTCTTTCAAGAAAGATGAGAAATGTATCGTTTTGCTACTGACTAAGGATACGAAAGACTGGAGTGAAACTAGAGCAGCATTAGTTCCCCGGACCACTTTCCTGCAATCAGTTAAAGATGCCCCTGTAGCAATAGCATTAGTCTTTCTAGAGGGAACCAAGAAGTAAAGTGAGGTACCAACACCACTGCAACCACTGCTATAGAACTTTCAGGTTGTTATGACATACATTCTGCAAGAGGGGTTACCTTCAGAAACTCCATGAGAAGGTTGGCAAGGAGAATTCTAAGCAGAACCAAAGATATCAGACATGGGTGATACAGGAAGAAAGTGAAGTTCTAAGAAGGCGACCTCGTGTGGATTCAGTTAAAGAGAGATTTCCCATGGGCGCATTCCGGAAGCTTAATCCTGGAGTGGACGGTCCTTTCAGAGTAATTTGGAAGCTGAACAATGCTTATAAACATTTCAACCACGTTCAACACCGCCAACCTAGGGAGACTGACGCGGGTGCTATAGGTGCCAGCCAGTTTAGTTGGTCGGCAATAACTCCCGCAGAATCAACTGGTCCAATAGACTGAGCAAGAGTTCTCACAATTTCTATACGAGGTGGGACTACCACGCCTCCTATCCCCTTCCTTATGCGCTCTTCTCCATATGAGAAGTCTTTAATGGCTATTTTTTGGATTATTCTTGCTTGCCCACCCCTTCCTTTTGTGTCGTTTTGTAACCCTATTTTTACAATAATAAAAGTTTGCTTTAGTGTTTCTGTTGGATTCCTACTTGTTCCGGTATTAGCCCCTCACACCACACACATTGTATATTTAAATGAGAATTGAACTTCAAAATAAACCCTTAATTATTCATATGTGACTAATTTGATCCAGAGCATCATATCTTTCCAATTTAGTCTTTTGTCTATACAAAATTGAACCAAAAAGGTTTCTCATGGACTTAAACTGAGATCAAATTTGTATAGTAGAGCGAATAAAATGGGATCAATTTTACATCACAATTTCAACATAAAGGACTATGAATATCAATTTTTTATTGTTGAAGAGCTAAATTGAATAAATGTGATATTTAGGGATTGAATTAGTTATGCATGAATAGTAAGAATTATTTGGATTTGTTTATTTAAATATCAACATATATCTGTGTGTGCGCGCGCATTTGTTTATATATATATATATATATATATATATATATATATATATATAACATCT